TTGAACTTAATAAAATATATGAGCTATTAAATAAATTACTCAAAAAAACATATAAATTTGTAAAATAAATGAACTAAACAAATAAGTCTTTATCTTATTTTATGTAATATAACTTAAATTTTATATTGATTTAATATAAATGAATTTTAAATTAAGTTTTAATTGAGTTTATTCACAAGCTTAAGTTAAGCTTTAACTAATTTTACTCATAAGCGTTAAACCAATATTATTTATGAACTTTAAATAAAACAGTTTATTGAGTTTCTAAATGAGTTTGTACATGAGTTTTAAATAATATTGTTTGTGAACATAAACAAATAGAATAAAGAGGTGTTCAAACTGGTTCATTTAACAATCAAGCATTCATGAAAATGTTCAAACTTATTAAATTAGTTAATCAAACAAATGTGAACGAGCTCTTATCGAGACAATTTACAAATAATTTGTGAAACACTCCTAGTAAGAGCCAAACTTTCACATGTATGTCTATAATTAGCTTGTTTATATTTTTATTAATCGTACTTAAATGGTATTTGACTTGTTTATATTAATTAGACGAGTACATCAATGAACTAATAAATGAGTTCAAAAATAAGTATCAAGATAGCATCAGTGAATGGAAGCACCGTCACATTCTTGATATTTCTCGTGCTTATTTAGTCAACTTCAACATCCCTTCATCTCTATGTGGCGACAATATGCTCACAGTTGAATATTTTACCAATAGGTTACCATAAAAAAGTACCAGCTCTAAATCCCCATATCATATTCTCTACGTGAACTACCCCACTACACCCGTGTTAAAATGATTGGTTGCACTTATTTTCCTTGATTATCACACCACAAACTTGCTTAGCGACCAATTTCTTGCATTTTCATTTGTCATCTCGTTAACACCAAAGGCTTCAAATGCTTCAACCCTCATACAAGTAAAACTATCATCTCTCTTCATGTGACCTTCAATGAAGCTTGTTTTTCTTATAGGAAACCTTCTACACCTGAAAATGTGTCTCCCACTACTTCCCCACCACCTCTAACTCTCATACCTACCATAATTTCCAACACTATAAACCAAGTTCAACCACCATTGACTTCCTCTGATAGCTATATATCTCCACAAACTATTCCTCTGATAGCTATACATCTCCACAAACCTCGGTTTCTACACAAACCAATCTCTCAATCAGATCCCACCTCTCTACCTTCACCACCTTTTCAACAATCTCACCATATGACCACACACTCTAAATCTGGCTCCCTACCTCCAAAATAGTTCCTAGATTTTCGCAGTCATCTCAGATAACGAACCTATCACTTATATTCAAGTTGTTATACATTCTAAGTAGTATGAAGCCATGAATGGAGAAATTCAAGATCTCTGCAATCAAGATATCTAGATCCTTGTTCCATCTCCAACTAATCAACCAATTATTGGCAGTAAATAGACCTATAAAATCAAGCACCACACCGACGGTATGTAGCCTTCTATAAAGCTCTTGTCGCTAAAGTATATCAACAAGCAATTGGCCTAAATTATACTGACACCTTCGACCCTGTGGTTAAGATTCCTACCATCTGTGTTCTTGCACTTGCCCTCTCCAACCATTGGCAAGTTCATCTACTCAACGTCTCCAATGTTCTTTTTTTTTCACGGAACACTAATGACACCATGTATATGCGCCAACCCAAAGGTTACACCCATCTTAATCAACCAACTCACGTTTGCTTATTGAAGAAAGCCAATTATGGCTTAGGCGATCACCCCAGAATTGGTTTTAACACCTTTACTAGTCATCGTTGACCTCATTATTAGCCAACTTTTTATCTATCATGCGCACAATTCTCTAAGTTATTTCCTCCATGTATCTCTAAGTTCTTTTTCTCCATGAATTTTCTCCAAGTAATTTCCATGTGTAAAATTCTATAAGTTCTTTTCTCCACGAATTTTCTCCAAGTAATTTCCAAGCGTATAATTCTCTAAGTTATTTTCTCCATTTATTTTTTTAAAGTGATTTTCATGTGTAGAATTCTCTTAGTTATTTTCTGTGTATTTTCTTCAAAAGATTTTCATGTGTAGAAGTACGTAAAATGAGATTTTCACCATGTATTTTCTAGATATCCAAATTATGTGAAATGAAGATTTATCCATGTGTTTTTCCTATGCTCTAAATATGCGAGATTGTGAAGTTATCTCCCATGTGTGGTTCATATAAAATGAAGAAAACTCTCATGCGTAGTGTGTCTATGTGAAAGAACGTTTTATGTGTAGGTTGAGTGTAATGTGCTTAGCATCAATCATTTACAGAGTTGGGTGTTTAGGATGTCACTCGTAAGCTTATATGGTTAAGCTATGTCAATTTATAAATTTTAGTAACTAAGGTTAAATTGCTTGTAAATGCTAATTTTAACTTTAAAGCACCTAACAAACCCATTAAAATTTCAAACCCCGAAACAACTTGAAATTTTAAAACACTTAAAATTTCAAACCTTTCTAAACATTTTGAAATACTTGAACTTTAAAATACTTGAAATTCCAAACTTTTTAAACCCTTTAAAATAATTAGAACATTAAAAAACTTATAATTTCAATCACTAATTATTGGTATCAGGTTGCAAGAGCGTGTTAAATCAAAATATCCTCAATAGCAATCTCTAATTATTGCTCCACCATCATAAACACATGTATGTGCATAAATATACTTGTATTTGGTTGTATACATGTAAGGGTGTTGTATTCTTTGTTATGAGTAATGATATTAAAGGTGCATTTGTTTCGGCTGTAGCTGTATGAAACCCCAATTTAAAAATTGTTGTAGAAAATTTCCTGTTTAAAAGAAGTTTTTTCAGAAGCAGTGTAAGCAATTATTCTATTTGAAAAATTATGTTTTGAAAGTGTTATCTACGGATAAATATCTAAAATACCGCTCTGCTCCTCTTTCACTGTGATGTTAGAGATTTGAGTTGTATGCATGTAAATATGCATGTTTAGGTGTTAGATA